GGATGACAATTAACGTGGATTGAAGGCTTTGTCATTCGACATCGTGGCCGCTACCCGAACTAAGTCCAAGTACGAGTGGCTGATTCGATGGGCCAGTGGGGAGCTTCTTGGGAGGATATGGGAGCATCTTCAATGATGACCGTTAAATTCCATCTACGCAATAAGAATGGCCTGCTCAAGTCGATGGATGGAAGCGATCACCCTACACCAAGAAATCCAAGGTGTTCGACAGTAGGTACATCAAGCAAAGTTAAAAAGCTTCCGCACCAAGCCATTTATCAATAGGTTTACCAGGTTCCAAGAAACCACGCGAGTGTTTCCCATTGATGAGAAAATAAGGTGGCAACAGTAAGTGGCGGATGCAGAGAGACTGGAGATTGCCAGTTGATGGAATACGACACTTCGAGTCACTGGGAAAGGGTACCCAGTCCCAACAGGCTACCAAAGATACCATGTCATATGTCTATGCCGTCAAACACGACGGGCGGCACAAGGCATGGTTTGTGGCAGGAGGCCACAGGACAGAGACACCAGTCGAACCCAACCTACTCAGGTGTTGTGTCCTTACGGCATCCGTCTGGTTAGTTTTTTGGCTGAGTTGAATGGGCTTGAACTCTGGCAACGGACATTGGCAACGATACCTGGAAAGCTACACACTGAGAAGGTGTGTTTTATTGCTGGTGGGGATTTTGGAGACATGGCTGGGCATCCGATGAAGATGATCAAGGCCCATATGGCCTCAAGTCATCAGGCAAATGTTGGCATGATAAACTGTATGATGTGCTTCACGGATTTGGCTTCAAAGCCCTCTAAGGCTGAGCCAGATATCTGGATGCGTGATTTGGCGACACTATGAGTAAATCGGTTGCTATGTTGACGACCTATTAATAGCTTCCAAGCAACCTCAAGTCATCATCGATCTACTGCAGGCTCCACCACACAAATTCAAACTCAAGGGAACTGGACCTGTCACCTTCCATCTGGGATGTGACTTTGAAGGGATGGCGACGGAATCCTTTCCATGACACCAAGAAAGACATTGAACGTGTCAAGGCCCAGTATGTATCTTGTTTGGGGAGAACCCATCCACTAGGTAACCAGTCCAGTGGAGAAAAACGACCACCCAGAGCTTGATCCTCTCCTCTCCTGGATGATGATGGGATCTCAAAATACCATCCCTGATTGGAGCATTGCAATGGGCAATTTCACTTGGAAGATTTGATATTGCAGTCTCTGTAATGTCAATGTCGTCCTTCAGGGTGGCACCCAGAGTGGGGCCCTGGAAAGACTCAAGAGGATCACTGGATTCTTGGTCAAGATGAACCAGGCAGGAATCAGGACCCGCACCAACGAGCCAGACTACTCCAACTGGAATACGAACCTACGACTGGACAAGGACGGTCATGGGGAGGCACAGGAGGAACTCCCAGTAGATGCCCCACAGCCAAAGGCAAGCCGGTAGTATTGACGACCTATGTGGATGCAACTTATACCAGATTGGGTAATGGCAAGCAGTCACTGGTGTACTGCACTATGTGAACCAGACCCCATTCGAATGGTACGCAAGAAGCAAGCACTGTGGAAGCAGCCACATACGGCTCTGAGTTTTGCTGCTAGGGTTGCCACCCAACAGGCCATTGCAGCCAGAGTTACACTAAGGTATCTTGGTGTGGAGGTAAAGGGGCCACATACATGTTTGGCGACAATGGGTCTGTGGTGACAAGTCTCCACCCAGCCCCATTCGCCCCTCAAGGAAGAGACATCACGCCCTTCCTACCACTTCGTCGAGAAGCCATTGCGCAGGGCCCATCTCGTTTCATCATCTCCCGGAGCAATCAACCCCGCAGAAATCCTGACGAAACACTGGGTTTACTCCCAGATATGGCCATTCTGAAGGCAGTTCTGTTCTGGCAAGAAGACACAGCTGATCTCCTAGACACACCATGGACACATCACATGGTGGGGAGCGATGAGTGGAAATCCACGTGAATTCCCATTGTGGTGCGAAGCAGCTGTGCCGGTTTAGCCAGGTGAAAGAATCGCTGTGACATTTGTATATCCAACAGTAGGGTCAGCAGTGCAGCCATTGGCAATACAGAAATAGCTGAGGAACTTTATATACCCAAGGTGATGCAGTTCTTCAGCCAAGACCAATATAGAAGTTAGCTTGCCAGCACCACCAAATGAGATGCAAGAGAGCCAAAGCTGCATGGCTGAGTGCTGTCGAGGATTTTGTGTTCAGTTGATTTTAGCATAGTTTAAAGAAGAAGAAGTAATGAAAGGATAGTTGACCAGATACAGCTCAGTAGCACTAGTTTCCCCACAGTTGAAGCCTTCCTGTGTGGATTGTGCCAAGGCAAAGAGTGAGTTGTTCAATCATTGCTGTGGAGATTGAATAACAGGGGCAGCCAGCTTTGTGGCTGGCCATTCTCACTGTCAGAGGAGTGAGGCTCCAAGCAGAGCTCTCCACTCCCAGCCAGCTCTTTGTGCATCTACCCTGACTGGATCTCATCGCACTCACCATGCATTGTTGTCGGCCAAGCTTGGATTTACCTCCTGTTTGCCATAGTTATTGAATGAGGGAGAGAAGTCAGTGCTGTGCCTTCAATGATATCGATGGACTTGAACCATTCATTGTGCCGTACTCAATCAGTTTATCCTTAACCTTAGTAACTTCAACGGTCATTTGTTCCACGAATGGATCTATTTTTGTCGAACGAGAACCTGTTACTTATAGATACACATGACCATTGATTCTGCAACTGAAGTGCGTCTACTCTTTTTCGGACAGTAAACGCCGGCAAATCGATTTTGGACTGCAACTGAGGGGGTAACCAAAAGGAGCGTTGTCTCATGGAGACATAATAGAAAATAGGAAATAGGAAATAGGAAATAGGAAATAGCATTTAAAAAGGGGTTGAGAACTCAGGCAGTTTACCTGCCGAGGTAAATAAGACTGAGCTAATAGAAAGGGAGGTCATTTTTCTGTCCGTCGTCGGTTTTTCGCGGGATACCCAAGTCGAGAAAAAGGCAAATGAAGTTAGATCGCGCACAAATGGTAACAATAGCATGTCATTGTCCCTTGTTTGTCATTAACTTACATTAGATTGCAACAGTAGTAACAAGTAGTTAACTAGATAGAGTTGCGTGCTGTTGCTGCTGTCGCCTTTTTGGCTTTAGCAGCTGCCTACGCCTTAGAAATCTTAGTCTTCGTCCTTGCAGCCCTGGTTGCTTTTGCCTTCTTTGTGTTCGATACAACGTTGCCGCGACGTTCTTTGCCAGGATCTTCTTTGAACCATTTGATTGTTCTTTTGTTGGGAGGAACCAGAGGCCTCCACTTGTTGTACAGCTCCACCCACTTGATGTCTGGAATTCCTGGTGGCTCCAATACATCGGGCACTCCCTCCATAACAACCGGCTGCAGGAAGACACTCCAGTCACCGGTCTTGACAGCCTTTCGCCAATTCTGTGGACGGTATTTGAGCTTTGTCAGCAGCTGAGCTTCTTCTCTAGCACCATCGAATGGCTTGACAAACATATGATGCATGCTCCTTGTAGCATCCACCTCAAAGCAATGGTTCTCTGAGACCATTTTGACTGGAGCCCAGTACTCATTGAGGAACTTGTCCCAGTCAACAAACTCTCCTTTCGTCCTTATACGGACTGGAGTGACGTCGTCCCTTTTCATGCAAGTGATCAACTCTTCTGGAGTGTAGACGTTCGACTGGTACAAAGGGAGAGTAGGTGAGACGTATTGAGTTTCAGGTTTTGATGGGAACACAAGCCATAACTTACTTTGCGATAGTCGCTTTTCATCAAGTTGAACATCCTGTCACAGTCATTCTTAGTGTGTCCTTTGATAAGAAAGGTAGCTCGAGCCTTTAGGCAGACGCCTCTGTTGACAAGGATGAAAAGAAGCCTGATCATCATTCAATTTTTGTTCTGCCCTGGACAGTTGTCAAAGAAGAGGTTGATCTCCGGCACAGGCTTGTCATGTGACGTCTCTCTTTCAAGACCGTTGGTGCAGGTGACAGCGTCTATAGATAGCATACTGCCCAATAAACTGGCAACATTGTTCTCTCCTTTGGCTGCTTCACCTTCCAAATAAGTAAAGGCGTCGAGATGCTGAAGGCTGCAGTCGACAACACCAAAGACATACGCCCAAAGTGGAGAAAGATAATACGTCTCACCGGGTTGTTCCTGTCCAAAGTGAGGAACAGCAATATTCTGCGCATAGTCGCAGACATACGTATACACTCTCTTGTCCCAGTCTTTGTCCTTGCCGCAAACAGCTTCCTCCTTCTTTAAGTTGAAGAGTGCTCGCTGTTGCCTTGCCATCTCCACATGCATGGATGCTTTCAACACTGTGTCTTCCATTGCTTTGATTGCCTCAAACCTGTCATGAATGTGAGCATAGGGATCAAACCTTGTTAGAGCCTTCTCAAACATTAGCTCATCATCAGAGTCATCTTCCTCTTCTCCTCCTCCATTGCATGATTTGGTGGAGTACTTGTGCTTGTTGGCTGGCGAAAAGGTAGCAGTCACCACAGATATCTTCGCTTGGTCGTTGGATCACCAGCTTGGGATATTCCTTTTTCCAAAAGGACCGGAAGTTACTCCAAGCTGGCAATTCGGTGGCTGACACTTTCTGTTCAGTCCCAAGCTCCACCTTCTTCAGAAGTCGACCCTTATTGTCCCACTGAATCTTCCATCCCAGTTCACCTATGAATCTGTTGAACAGGCCTCTCTTGGTCATCGACGACGGCAATTCCACGGTGTCTTTCTCCTCTTCACGCAATTCAACCAACGTGTTGATACCATCCACCATCTGTGTCCTGACAATCTTGGTTGCTCGAGGGAGGGCGTATTGTTTCATGTCAGTAAAGAACTCATGCATAAGGCCTTGCGACTTGGCGTTAAGCTTGTTCCCTGTCTTCCCTGAGAGCCCATGCACTGGATCGTTCCCGGATTTCACAAGCTGAACGATGGATTTCCAGGGCTTTTGCCCATATCCGATAAGCTGTCACAGGGCATTCCTGCATATGAAGCGGGTGGTTGAACCAGGAAAAAGGAACACTCTTGTTGAAGTTGTCCGATGGTGCCCTTGGAACAGGAGTTGTGCAGCAAGGCCTGACCGAATCCATTCCTTCACGATCCTCTTCCTTTCTGCAAAATCCACATTGCAGAATAGGAAAAGAGCCTTGGCGCATGCATCAACCTCATCATCATCGATCTGATCTCCAAGATCATGGAGGCAAGTGCAGCTTGTCTTCTGACCAGGCTTGTTGATGACATCAAAGCAAAAAGGTTTCTCCATGGATGCAAAAGCATACTCTGTCAATTCTTTCAAGCTATCTTCCTCAAAATTCACCAGCTCAATCGCCCCCTTCGAACTGAGGTTTACAACAGGACTCTGGAACAGTCTAATGGGTTGAACATAGAGGGCCCGTCGGTGGTGATATCTTCGCTCATGGTCGACTCTTTTGGTAGCGTGGAACGATTTTGTGAAGAAAACAAAGTCGAAATCGAAACGTGACTAGCAGTCCCGGGCTCTTGGACTCAAAATATTTTGAGTCGATTGGAGGAACGCTAGCATGATCGGAAAGCGTCAAGTCTGTCGGATGGTTACATAGACGAAAACCTTAACTTATAGCCGTCGGATCATACTGTCATGTACATGAATGGATAGAGAATGTTTTATTTTTTAAGAACGACTCAAATGCTATTGGCGAAATCCTGGTTCCCCAGGGGACCCGGAGGCCCCATTGCCGACCATTCTATTAGCCCAGTCTTAAATGTAAGCACCCCTCTGGCTAGTAGCTACTACATGTAGTAGGGTAGGGGAACACATTGTTGTACTGCTACCTTCTGAAAAGGCTAGACTATTGTGGATGATCAGTGCAAGCTTGGGGCATCTGTGGGTGCCACACTTCCCGGAAACAACTGTCGTCACACACTTACTTCTATCAAAGCAGCTACAGTGTAGCTAGATTCATGAATCATAAACTATGTTTCTTTGGTAGATAGCCTGAAGAGAAAGGAAATGGGGAAAACCAATTTCTCTGTTTAGGTTCACACTATGCTTCTTGACAACATTCTACTTCTCTACCAAACCATCCAGCTTCGTGTGACCAATGATTGTCTTTGACTTCAACAGGAGCAAACAAACTAAAACACTATAGCTAAAAAGCCACCTCTTGTTAGAGGAGAAAAAGGCACATATAGCAAGAGAGTAAACTTGCTTCCAACAGCAACTGAATACAGCATCGATGACCAGCACGCACAGAACCCATTCTCCACAGCATGCCAAATAAAGAACATTTCTTGGAGACAAAGCTCCTGCTTCAGCAAGCTCCAAGTCGCCAGTGGCTGGCCATGGCATCATAGACACACTGATCATTCAAGTCGCCCCAGGGCAAAACATACCTACTCAGCAACAACCATGGAAATGGAGGATATACCCAAAGTCACGCTATCCCGCCTTACTTTGCGCTTGGCATGCAGCACTATAATGTGTTGTGCTGGGGGAACCAATTTGTCTGGAAGAGCGTGGGCTCAGTCTCAAGGACTTGACACTTATTTCCAAAAGGCATCGGAATCTGACATGACAGTTCTATGATAAGAAGGACACTTGGCAGTGACAAATTCACCCAAAAGGCCCTTGCTACCTCTGTGCCCCTCAAAGCTTGCACCCACATTCCACATTACAGATGTCAGAGGTGGCATCACAAAGATGCTGTCAATATCATTACTAATACCCTGAATGCCCAATGCAGAAGAGTAGTAACAGTCTGGTCTCTGTTTTGAAGACAAGCTGCCAAGGAGGCAAAGTCCAATGAAAGCGAGTTTGGAGAAGATGATTGTGGTCAACAAGATTTGGGCAGGAAGGTTCGGCCCGAGGCCAGACACTGGATCTTTTCACGCACCGCTGGCCATCACAAGTGCTTTGGTACTGGCCATCACAAGTGCTTTACTGGCAATGCTTCAGCTGGCTCGAGTTTCCCGCCCATAGAACGCTGGTGTTGTCATTGTGGTTGTCATTGTCATTGGTGGTAGACAAGCTGGAGCATAAAATAGAATCGAATCAGTTCACAATACCAGCCAGCTATTCTCATACCATTCCCAGTGAATTCATTACGAGTCGAGACCAGCAATAATGACATCCAAGAAGAACAAGAAGGTCCGCCAGAAGCATCAACACCAACACCAACACCAACACCAACACCAATACCAACACGATCTCCCAAAGCGTCGGCACCGTCAAAATTCCCAGCATGAAAAAGCACCAAGGAGTGAAGTACCGCCTGTCATGCTCCGTGATTATGACAACCAGGCTGGGAATCGTACCAATGGTGTTTTGAACAAAGCAGTGGGAAAAGACACTCCGAGCCTGTAGCTTTCGTCCCAGCCTGTAGGTGTTATCCCAGCCTGAAGCTGTGGTCCCAGTAGCGTGAAGCTTTCGTCCCAGCCAGCCTGAAGCTGTGGTACCAGCCTGAAGCTGTGGTCCCAGCCTGAAGCTGTGGTCCCAGCCTGAAGCTTTCGTCCCAGCTTGAAGCTTCGTCCCAGCCTGGAGCCATGGTCCTAGCAGTGTGAAGCTGTTGTCCCAGCATGAAGCTGTTGTCCCAGCCTGAACATTTTGTTGGGTTGCAGCTTACAGCTTTTGTCCCAGTGTCGAGTTTAGTTTTTTCTGCTTGGAGCTTAGCTTGTGTCTGGAATTTCACAACTAGCTAGCTATCGGTACTATGCAAAGCTAGCTAGTCTCGGGCCTCTGCTTGTAGGTCGTCCTCAAGTCAACTTGTCTGACTTTGTGCTTTTTAAAATGCTGAGCTAGCTAGTCCATACCAGGAGAGATCCGTACCTGTATCATGGTAGTCTACTAGCTAGCTACTATGATACGTATGGTATGGCTAGCCAGTACCGGTAACTACGTTCTGGGTGATTTCATCGCAATTGCAACACAAAATGTCTTGCAGAATACTCCTTACTGAGGTAGCTTTTTTAAGAACCTGGTGTAAACTCACCCAGTGCAAAGCACATTTTAAAAGGCATGTATGCTTCAAACCATACCCACCAGTGATGGTTTAAAGTAAGCAGCAGTATCCCTTTTACTAAATCCTCACTATTTACTAGTGCATGCTTTAACCCACCGAATGCACTTCAAGAAGGCCTTCTAATTGCAGAATCAGCTTTTGTACTCTTTGCTCCTATTCAAAAGAGCCAAAGTAAATTGCACGAGCCACCCCCAAACCCCCTTCTATGTTTAAATCGTGAGGTGACCTCACGAATAAGAAGACTACACAATGAATAATATGAAGCAAAGTGTGTTTCTACAGCTCAGTTGGCCCAGGATACTCCAGGCATGACTGGGTGTCATCCAGGGACCGTCAATGCGTCATTGGCTTTTTTCCTTGATTTGCCGTTGCCAAGGTTTTTCTTTGACCTTCGAAGGAAGCTTCTATTAGAGTAGCTAGCTGGCTAACATCCCTGGTATCATGGTTATCATGCAATACAAAGATACATGATGGAGTGGACTTTTGGAATCACCGACAGCGGCCCAAAGGCCTGGCGACAGCGAGAGCCTTTTTGGGAAGATGAGCAGTTGACGGCGACCAGCAAAAACACTTACCACCAAGTGATGCAAAAGCTGTGCGAGACGGCTCTTGCAAAAAGGCGAGAGGGCGGAGATTCTCTCATTAACAGTCATTTGTGGAAAATAGAAGTTGGCAGCCAACGTGAATGGATGAAGCCTCCCAAGCCGCATTACTTGGCTGCTATGGAAGGAATGTTGTCCGAGTCGGACGCCTCGGATGATGAAGACGATGAAGAGGAAAACAATTACCGGGGAATTACCACCATCATGGCGAACGAAGAGATCCAGCGGCGGCGGCTGATCGATGAGGAAATTGGCGAAGAGCACTGCTATCTTTCATCCAATTCTAGGTTGTCCAACAGATTTCTGCAAAAAGGGCTCATCATTAAGGTAACCTACGACTTTGGACATACCACCACCATCTACCTCAAGGTGCTCTCTGTGCTTCCCAAAGTAGTCAATAATCTCTTGAAGCACTTTGATGCCGAGAAGGATGCCCAAGGGCAGCTCAAGGACTTGCAAAAAGTCCCAGCTCACAAATGGCCCAAGGACCAACAGATAGATGCCTTCTTTCCAAACTATTCAAAAGCATTCCTGGGCGAGTATCAGCCGCTTTTTTTGAGACCAAACGGTAATGCAGACGGCCAGTGCCGAGCACAGAGGCTTATTGGAAGCGCCAGTCTCGGATTGTCCGCCAAAATTCGATCGGAAAAGGATGTCATCTTTGCCAACATGGAAGATGCAACATGTTCCAATGATTTAATGTTTGCTCCTATGCATTTCAGAGACATGAATGAGTTCATGGTGGTTGCCGAACAATCCTGGACGCCCCGTGATCCTGATAATGATCCAGACAATCTCAAACGTTATCGGTACAATGGCGTTTCACGCTACCTCCTGCCCAAGACTTCTGACGCGGATGAAGCGGAAGAGGCGCTAAAACCACCTGAAGACGACGATAACGAATGGGCCGCACACGCATCCAAACGCCTCCTGTATCGGCTTTCCAATGGTGAAAAACAAGAGGACAAGACTAGTAAGTTTGACTTTGTCGAGGCCTTCCCCAAAACCGCTGCACAGTTTGCAAGTGGCAAATTCCGCTGGATACAATACAAGAAGGGTATTTTGCGGGTGCTGGTAGGAAGAGGCACCGGAGAGTTCTTTCGTGACTATATATCCGGTCAGGTACTGAGGAAGTGGACTCAAGACTTTGCCAGTTTTCATGAGTTGCTTTGTGCTGTTGAGGCAAGTTGGATCTATTGCAAACAACCTCTCACTTCCAGCATCGAGCTGGCCTACTTCGACGCGGACCTTGGGCCTTCGAATCCAGGACCGAAGGAACCTCCGAGTTATGGCAAAACTAAGGACACAGTGCCCATTTGCCGTCGCCGCGACAGGAAGCAACTGGTGACAGCAATGGCTGTTGTAGAAGAAGCTGGTGGCATGGCCGTCTTGTACGCAGGAACCCACGACGGTACACTCACAAAGTGGTCGTTGGAGAACAACACGATTATCTGGATCAAGTCAATCTACCAGCAGGACGCAGAAGATGACGACGACGGCACTGACGTGACTTATGGCATCAAATCAACCTTTGGTGTTGCTGGAATCGCGGTCCGATGGGATGAGCGCAGGAGCAGGCATCGCATCTACACGTGGACCCACGCCCACGAGGGATACCCCTCCGAAGACTATGCCGACCGTGAGCCGTCAAGAGTCAAATGCTGGCGAGGCGATGATGCAAGCTTCATTCAAGAATATGTGTGTGACGTCGGAGATGACGACGAAGGCAATGCGGCCAATCCGTCGATTGCCACAGTTGTGTTCTGTCGCCTTTGGATCAAGAATCAGTGGCGGCACTCGATGGTCGTTGGCCTCCATTGCATTTGCGATCGTGTCCTGGAGTATGACGAAGACTGTAGCGACTTTGATCTGGAGGCGGCATCTGAGATCGGAGAAGGAAACATTCTGCCCTTCTATGAATTTAGAAACAATCATGCCATGGAATCTTGGAGAGGACATTTTGGCATTATCCGAGCGATGGCTGTCGTCCCTGACAAGTACCTGCTTAGTTACTCGATGCGACCGGGCCATGGGTTGCCAGACGCCATGATTTTGTGGGACCTCCAAGACCCCGGGGTTCCCCTACGCCGCCACGACTTTTGGAATCCGAGGCGCAGCTTGTTTAAACAAAACCAAACACGTCTTCACGAGGTCTGTGGAATTAGTGTTTCTGGGACTGATGTTCTACTCTGCTGTGAGTACGGAGATCGTCTCTCTGTTTTCACAGTCGAAGACGAAGACGGAGACCCATGCATTGAGCTTCACGGCTACGCCAATATTGGCAACCGCCACTCTGAGAGTGACTTTCATGGTCGCATGGCAATGTCTGGGAAGCATGCAGTCATTGCCAATGAAGGTAGCGTCGAAGCTTGGCTTTTTCAAATTGAAGGAAACTCAAAACATGAGAAGCTAGACAAGAGAGAAGGCAACCGCCGCAACTTTCAATTCAGCGGATGCGAAGAGGACGTGGATGAAGAGGGCACGAATCATACGTTTTCGGGAAGACATTTGGCAATTGGAAAGGTCTCGTTCCTAAAGTTTGGAGGGGAAGCCCCGAAGAGGAAGAAGCAGAAGTTATTCGGAATGAATTCCCACAACATGAGCGACTTCCTGAGTACCGCTAGCGAACATTTGGGGAGTGGTGGGCCAATAGCACTTGCCATTCATGGCAAGTGGCTCGTGGCAGGCTTCATCAACGGAACAATTGCTAGGTCGCCCCTTCTTCCGATTCCTTTCGCCAAGGAAGAGGAAGGTTCCATGCATGCCAATGAACTTGCGTGTTGTTCTTCCCTGCCAAGCGACGAGTGGCACCATCCAGTTCTGGCATGCGAGGAGGATTGAAAACGGCAGTGAACAGAGAGACGACGAGGGATTATAGAGGACGACAAGAAAGCTCAAGAAAGTATTGAACACGGAGCTATACTGATATGGAATATCAATCCTAATTTCCTAGTTTCTGCTTTAGAGCTGAGGCTGTTCCTTGTTGCGAGACAGCTTCTGGTTCTGCAAAGTACGAGTCTCTGGTACATGCTATCACATCGGAGATTTGGCCGCTGGGGTCTTTACGGCTTCTAAAGTACGTTCGTTGAAGGCAATAGGTTTACATTATCCCATCATACTGATTCACCGCTTCCATTGCATTGGCTGCATCTCAATGCACGCGTATGGTCTCACAAGCAACAAAACTGCATCGGTAGCTCCAGCTTTGGCACTCTCGATATGACAACTTTGATTGTGCTAATGACAAAGTGGAAACCTACTTCTGTATTACTATCAGATGATCAAAAGCCCCAGCTTCATCAAGCTCCAAGTCACGTAGCCATGGCATCATAAGCACAAAGTTCTTTCAAATCTCCCCAGTGTTCACATGCCCTCTTGGCAGCATCCCAGGCAATGGATTCACAAAACCGGTGGCAAGAAGCTTCCTTCTTGCCTGGGGCTAGTAGTAGCATGGTGCATAAACAGGGTGCTGGGGGTTTCAATTTGTCTGGAGGAGCTTGGGCTCATCAGTCTCAAGGATTTGCCACTCATTTCTAAAGGCATCAGAATCTGCCATGACAGTTCCATTGAGGAAAGCCAGCCACTTGCCCGTTCCAAACTCTCCCAAAAGACCTCTGCTGCACCATACTCTTCAAAGCTAGCACCCACAGTCTTGACACTGACAAGGTCCTTGATGGATTGGACAACAATCTGCTTTCCCTCTCCCAGCTCAATAGTGAAATTATGTTACTTGGAATTGACCTTCTTGTGGCTAACAGGGTGGTACCGGTACATGTACTTGTCAACCTGATCGAATATCATTCGATTTGTAGTGATTGAATCGAATGATTCAACCATTCGATTTGATTTGATTCGATTCATTCCCGTCAATAAGGCCAAAGCTAATTTTTGCGGCGATCCACTGACGATCCTTACTTCAACTCTCAAGCTCTCTTGGCCTCCTCCCGCTGTGAACGTACTGCAAGAGAGCTATGGCAGCTGTTGGTCGGTTGAACACCTCTCGATCCACATCGTCTTGTCCCAAATTACTCGAATACTAGTCCACCATGAAGATCGCTGCCGCCTTTGTCTTGCTTGCCTCCACCGTTGCGGCCTTCGCGCCTGCTTCCATCGTTTCTCGATGTACGTCATACTTAGTGTTTAGGGTATCTTCACTTGGTGAAACTCAATTGGATTCTGGACTTGGCTTGTTGGTTGTGGTTTGACACGTGATGGGCCAACACCAAATCCACTTGATACTGCACTGATCCTCTTGCTTTCCTTATTGAATGTACCGTTTGTCTTACCTTCCTTTGCCTCTTTTTCCATACCACAGCCACTGCTCTTAGCATGGCCGATTACGATCTTGAATTCGGCAAGAGTAACGACTACGTTCCTCAGTCTTTCGCCGACGGTGGACAGGGACAATTCGGTGCCGTCTCTCCCAACAACTGGCGAGTCCCAGGAACCTCCCCTGTTGGCCAAGCCTCATATCCAGGTGCTGCCGATGGCGGCGATGAGCCATGGTTCGCCGAGGCCGTCTCCACAGTCTCTCTGGACTTGGCCAAGGCCGAGGAGACCCTCAAGGCATTCACCAAGGAAGCCGCCACATTCAAGATTGAGGCATTCGCCGAGGCAAACGGAATCAAGGACTCCTCCGACGCACTTGACAAGTTGGTTGGAAGCATGGGATACGACTCCTTCCTTGAAGCTTCTCCAAAACAACTCGCAAAAGCTTGGGACAAGATCACCGGAAAGAAGGATGATTAAACAAGCAGCTAGGTATATATTCGCCAATATCCCAGGCGTGAGGTATAGATTTTGGAGATAAGCTTCGGCTTTTTGACCAGAAATAGAGCTTGGTTTTCCCCAGCAACCTCTGCTCTTCCTTTTGATTGCTACTACATTCAAGTAGACTATGTAAATGCACTGTCACTCCAGTCGTAGTAGTAGCTATCAAGTAGTCGGGAGCTGTGGGATGGGCCTTGCAGCAGTGGTTTGGTGCCTTCCTCCTCCCGTCAGGGCCAAAGTGCAAGCCCATGTGAAACCTACCATATTGGTGGTACTATGGATAGATGGGGGCGGTGGGTTCTCTTCAGCTGCGAATCTGGTGCCTTTCGCTCTGCCAACTTGCTCGGTTGGCTATCGACTCACAGAATGGAAACTGCGGCAGGCCCAGGCTCCAGTGGTGCGTTGCTGTTCGTTCTTCGGGCACTGATGAAGAAGAACTAGCATGCGATTCCATGGAGCAAAGAAACACGGTAGTAGTCCGGTTGTTCCTTGCCTTCTACCTACTGGTAGCTACTACTTGTACATGTAGCTAGCAGCAGCTGGGCCTGCTACCGTAGCTAGCTAGAGGATGGCTATTTTGAGACAACAGTTGGGCCCCAATCCAGTGGGGTGCCAGCGTGCCAGCTTCGTCGCAAAGGTAAGTGCCGTTCTTTAATTAAGTCTTCATGGAAGAAATATGAGGGGCCCAAAGAAAGATTTAACTTTCAAACGTTCTTCGAGTCGTGCACCCAATTGTGAGCATTGACGGAACACGAAGACAACCATGCCATCTCGCCATAATGTCAGAAGAAGTAAAAAAAAGTTGCCCCCAGCCCCCAGAAAGGCTCCACGGCGTACATGCTCACGAAGCTGAAAAACCATGAACCACACCACCAGCCTTCCGATCATAGAAGACGAAGCCACAGCCAGGCGCAAGTTGGAAGAAGCTCATTTTGATCCAGATGACGCAGTTTCTGCGGCGAACCCACCGTTTGAACCAAAAGGAATCTCCTCTTGGACCCTCATCACCCCCATGACTCATTTTTGCTATTACGGAGATCTGCCCATGTGTCGATACCTTCTCAGTCGCGGTGGGTTGACCACAAGGTCGGGCCGAGAGTTTTGGTTTCCAATGTACGCAGCCGCCTTTCGTGGAAACTTGGATGTCTGCAAGTGGCTGTTTGAAAATGGAGCCCAAGAAGAAGTCCGAACGGCGAACTCGGACGGGCACAGCCCCTTGAGTGTTTGCTGGGGGACGCGCAACAAAGAGCGCATCGCGATGCGTAACTGGCTCCTAATGAATGGAGCCATTCAAGATGAGGATGGCAACATCCATGAAACGACCCTCCGTAGCCTTCGTCCACGATACAAAAAAGCAAAACGGAGAGGATCAACAACATGTAAAGAAGGGAAATGGGTATACGACCACCCGCATGTTTTATCTTGGTCACAGGATGTACTGAAATCTCGGTCCAACTTTCAACTGTTCCTCTTGGGGACGTATGACAAAAACAGATCCGCCTCTGCCCTCACTGCTCAAACTGAGTTATCACCTGTTCAGCGCATCGGTGGCTGCCAAGGTGTCTTGAAATGCATAGCCGAGTTTGTGGGAGTGGTTTGCAGTTCCAACGATCTTAAAATTCACCGCAGGCTTGTGGAGCTGTTGCCTCTCATTATGGACAAGAACAACTATCCAAGTCGAGACTGTTTCTTGGCAAGTGACAGCGAGAGCGACTCAGATGAATCAGATGAATCAGATGATGATGAAAGTAACTGAATCCTAGATGGCTGGTAACTCGGAAAGCGAACATCACAACAGGTTACTACAATCAACGCAAACAGAGAAAACCAGAAAGAACGAGTGCCAAAAAGAGGACCTTTGTCCCCGACTTCCCTATCTTTTCAATTTGCCATTGGGCGGGCTGGTGGGATATTTTGCGCTTTCCCCTTGGAAGCGGATACTGGTGTCTTGGTCTTCTTTATAAAACTACTAGGGTTTCTTTTGGGCTTCCGAACTTCCATGTGGCACAGCAACACCTCTCGCGATGTCATTGTTGGCGGGGGGTCTATCGGTAGCTAGCTAGTGGAGTGGGGCATGTTATCTACTTCTCGTTTGGCGCAGCAACATCTTTCTTTGGTCCTTCCGGTTGTGGTCGGCTTCTTTGAGCGCTACCTGTAGGTACTATCCACAACAGATTGCGCATTGCATTGTGTGCCAGTATTGGTGTTTCAACAGCTCTAACTGCATTGTGCCATTGCGAAAAGCCTTTTTTCCGCGAACTGAACTCACCATCTTTCTCTCATCTTCTGAGTCAAAAAAATGCTCAGCAACATCTTTCTTGGGGTTCCCATGAAAGATCCACCGCTGGCATCTTTGTGACACAGTACAGTACCGGTGCTGCACAGAGCAAAGCCTAGCTGCACTCCCATAGTGCTGTTAGGCACAGCAACATCTTTCTTGAGCCCTGTGCAGTAAACATCCACCGTTGGCATCTTTGGATGCTGCACAGAGCAAAGCCCAACTACACTCCCATAATCGTGTTGTTTGGTCCATAATAACATCTATTGAGTTTCAAAGGGCCCAATTCTTCATCATGCCAGACAGAGAGGCACGTACCTACCAAGAAATCGCATTGAAGCCCGAGGTCGTGCAACGGGGTATTGACCTGGTGGCACCTTTGGCTCGGATCCTATTGCGGCGTGCCAAGACCGTCAAAGGGTTTCATGGTCGCACCACGGATGCCGAGTGGGATTCCTTTGAGAAGGAATTCAACATTACCATTCCAGGGGACTATAAGCTCTTGACCAACACTGTTGGATCTACCGGTCTGTGGTTCAATGGGTTTTGCAAGTTGACAACCCCCAAAGCGATGGGCGAGAAAATCAAGGAATTGCAAGAGAGGTACCCAGATTTCCAGTTGGATGAGATGAAGGATGCGTATGTCGACGTGGGAATATGGCCGGGACAACCTGCGTTTCATCTGGAGTGGGGACGTGACGTTGGAGGGACTGCCATGTCACATTTTTGGTGCTGTGCCAAATCCAAAGATGGTAGTGTTTGGCCAGTGGTGCAAATGCAGCTGGAGGCACCCCTCGAGCATAATGGAGGAATTCACCCTTGTACCGCCACAGAAGCTCTGTACAGGGATGTTGTTGACAAGAATGGCATGGCAGAGTATGAAGTCGATTCTGACGAGGAGGAGGAAGGCGAAAAAGACGAGGACGAAAACAACTTGAAGTACCCATTTGAAGGTCTTATGATTAAGAAGCGTAATGTTTATTGGTTTGATCGCAATCTGGAAGGAGGAAAAGTGAACGTCGAAGCGAGCGATCTTGGTGACATTGGCGAGGTGGATTCGGAGCAGGACAAGAAAGACATGGCAATGTTGGATGATGTTTCTGATTTTAAAATCATCGAAGATGTGACGGAGAAGTGCACAATCATGGCACCTTTGACTGTGGAGCCAACCAAGAAGAAGCGGAAGAAAAAAAATTAAGAATGACAACAATAGGGTCGGTCTACCGTACCGGTACGACAATACCGTTATCAACGACTCCTGGTGCGGCCAAAGGGGCCACCAGATTCATTAGTAATTCTGTGTAGAAGCCAATGAGAAGTCTACTGGTAGCTGGCTACTCTGTACTGTTTTATTCCCCTTGAATGCATTGTTTTGATACTTGTTTTGAATTGAATCGAATCCAAGCCACCTACTCTAGAGTAGACTCTAGACCCCCACCATAATCAATGGGATGGTGAAAGCCACAACGGAGACAATTGTACTGGTATTGGGTTCTTTGTGTTTTGACAGCTCTGCCTGTTGCTTTCGTTTTCAGACTTTCGGCGAAGTGTGCGTGATGAAACGTACACCAACATGACGACGACACAAGAACACTTTCCTCTCATTTTTTGTTTGCTGTGTTGAGCGGAAGAGACAGAAGATGAGCGCCATCCAGAACGATTCCACTCCAGAAGACGCCTCGCTGCAGGATACGAGTGATAATGACGAGGAAATTTTGTTGGAACCCAGGACGAGTGAACCGTTAGGTTTGCCAATACCTCGGGATGAACATGCCTGTTCTGTGAGTCTTCCTTCGTGGTCCTCCGTGGTCGGCTATGAAGAAGGCGATGCAAGCATCACAGCGGCCCTGAGATGTGGATACCCTCGATTCATGTACCATCCAGTCATTCTGCAACTGGCTTCTCATGTGGTGAAGGAACATTCCCCAAACGAAACAGAGGATTGCTTGTTGCTGCCAAGCCATGCGGCGGCAGTTCGATGCCAAGCATTTCTTCAAGAAGCATTGGAAGGACAATGCGACAAGGATAATGCCCTCTTGTGCACGACTATGGATCCTTCTGATGCCACCACTGGCGATGCCACTACATGGAGTGACGACAATCCGCAAGCAGTGTCCCGCATTCGCATTGTCGCCGTGGGTGGTAATGCCAATATCCATGCGGTCTTGTTCCCTGCCGAAACTCCCGCCGCGATGCAAGCCAAGGCGTATTGGCAGCATACCGGAGAAATTGTCAGCAGCCGAAGAGCTGAAGCAGCGCTGACAAATCTCAATATTCCCGTGGAACGAACCGTTACCTGTGGTCCCAAGGCACCCTATATTTGGCATCCAGCCGACTCTACCAGCAACGACAATGATGACACTTCATTGCCATTCACGCTGCTACGCCAACGTATTGCCGAATGGACCAATCTTCAATCCGAAGAATCCGTGTTTTTGACACCCAGTGGCATGGCCAGTATCTACACGTGCTTGCGTTCGGCCCGTCGGTATCAAATGTTGCATTCCAACGAAAATAGCAGGAGTGATGGTGGAAGATCCATTGTCTATGGGTTTCCCTACCTCGACACTCTCAAGCTCGCTTCTCGCAAGGAATTCTGTCCTGCTGGAGTCGACTTTTTTGGATTTGGAAACGACAACGACTTGCAATTGTTGGAACAAGTGTTGGAACAAAACAACAATAACAACCACCAATATTGTGCTCTCTTTACCGAAGTACCGTCCAATCCACTGCTGCAGTGTCCCGATTTGTACGCCCTTCGACAGCTGGCGGATCAGTATGGTTTTGCCTTGATTGTCGATGACACCATTGGCAACTTTCTCAATCTGGACATGATCCACACCGGAATTGCCGATGCCGTGTGCACGTCCTTGACCAAGATTGTGTCGGGGCGTGGGGATGCCATGGCCGGATCGATCGTCACCAATCCCAATACCGCCAAGGGGCGTTGGATGCAACAAGATTTGCAGCAAGATGGCGGTTCTTCTTTGTTCGTGGCGGATGCCAATGCCATTCTCGCCAACAGCCAGGATTTTCGGGATCGCAATCTCATCATCAATGAGAGTAGCGAAACTCTGGCAGATTGGTTCAGGGATCATCCCGACGTGGAAACCGTATACTACCCCAAGTATGCACCGCTGTATCCCTCACTGATTGCCGAGTCGCCCAATCCCAGGTATTCTGGATACGGCGGTTTGATGAGTATCTTGTTGGAATCACACATGTGTCAACGAACCTTTTACGATGAGCTGAATGTTGCCAAGGGACCCTCTCTTGGGACCAATTTCACCCTGGTGTGTCCCTACACGTTGTTGGCTCACTATCACGAACTAGACTTTGCCATGAATTACAACGTCCCACCCAATCTGTTGCGTATTTCGGTCGGATTGGAGGATCCCAGCGAATTGAAGAACAAGTTTGAAGATGCCTTTGCTAGGAGTCGCCTATATCCCAAGTTGTCGTCGCCATCATCCAAGACGAGTGGGCAACAGGTTCGCTCCTATTCGACCATGACAGACCTTGGTCAAGTCGGTGGCGCCACGATGAACCGTTACGGGCTCCGAAACAGTTACTCGACAATCATGACCATGAAAAGTTTGTTGAGGCGTGTACCTCGTTAGAACGAAAGAAAACGAAACGAGTGGACACTTGTTTTGGTGGGTTGCTGCATGCTCCAAGTCCAACGGAGGCCCTGCGCATTAGAGGTGGTAATTGGCAGAGCTCTGCTGGACTCGGTTCGGTTGATTGAAATAGGGACATCGGTCTCACTCAATTACGCGGCTCATAAAGAAAGAGGGAGATCATTAGACAGGACGAAGGGAGACCATGACCAACATCTATCGGTACGCACGTTCTAGGAGGTGCGTCTATGGGTGGCACAGCCTACTTGTACAGGTCCCCCTGTTTGCTACATGTAGCCAGCTAGATTTTAGATTTGAAATAGACACTAGCATTTCACCAGCTTCTTGCAGCTCTAGCTGGGCTCATATCCGTGGTTTCGTGGTCGCTGGTTGCGCTTGCCTGGGTGTCATCGGAATAGCTGGTGCTTTGTTCAGTTTATTGATTGGTATGTTTTTATTCTTCCTTGTAATGTGTAGCTATCCGTCTACCCTAGTCTACTTTTGCGTTTTCTAGCTAGTAAGTGTTTATTGCCTCCAAATAAATGGTAGCAGTGAAGCTAGGTTTCCACAAACTCTCCGTCATTCTTTTTGGACACACTAGAAATGACACCTCCCGATTCCTTGAATTTGGCCCAAGCAGCATAATGTGGCTGTGTCTTGTGAAAATCGACAGCGGCTGGATCCTTGTACAGTTCGTAAAAGATAAACTTGTTGGGGGCTTCCTGGTCTCGAAGGACATCTGATAATAACATTAAAAAGGAAGGCGTGGATGAGACATGCACGGTTTGAAACGAGCCATACGGAAGTCCACCAAAGCCGTACGGTAGAGCCCAGCAAGCCATCAGGTAAACCTCCCACATAGTAGTACTCACCAAATCGAATGCATCCCGGCTCTTTGCGTGAATTTTCGGCATTGGTTTTGATCATTTCCAAGAACTCTGCCATTCGATCGGGATCGACCTCGGCTTCTACCACAACAGCAAAGGGTGCCATTTTGGTAGCGGTAGAAGAAATGCTACTGCTGCCTCCTCGGGTCGAAATTAGGAATGCTTGGCGTGTGACAAAGGAACGGGCGGGAGTCACAAGATGCGAAAGCATAAGAAGCAGTGCTAGTATTAGCGGCAAATTCTTGAGAGTGGTGCTCATTGTCGTCGCTTCCGTTGGCTCTGGCGGAGTATCTTTTGTCTTCGGAACAAGTTAGACGGCGGCACCTGTTTTCTGCAGCAGCGGGGGTGGTGTCATCGGAGGGAGATCTTTTTCGGGTTGAAAATTGAAAATTGAGAACCTGCAAAAGATACGATCCGTGAGTAAAGACTGACGCAAGTCACGAGTACTCTGTCCCAGTCACACACATCAATGAATGAAATCAATGGCAATGATCAAATGAGAAATCAAATCCGGCAAGGCGTCGACAATGGTCATCAGATTCTTTCCTTCCGTAGGTCTCACCAATCATTGCTTCCCCATCTTGCCACCCATTCACAAGCTCTATAGCCTGTGAAAGTCTGGCTCCCTGCCATTGCTTCGGATTATCTCATCCGGAAAGGTGTCTATCATCTATACCAAGAATACCCCCATTTTTTCCTAAACTCATCAAAACATTGGGAATGACGTACCCAGCTGATACCAATACTCGGCTTCGAGCAAGCAAATGCCATTGTCGGCAATGGAACTTTCCCTTGCTTTGTTCAGTCCTTTTGGTGTCGTCTGCTGTGGGGGTATCGGGGTTCCAATCTTCGTTCATTGCCACTACTAAGAAGGGTGTACAGATGCGCTCACTGAACGTGTGGAAACCAGATCCACGGGTACCACTCGTTCCGACCAAGTCTTCTCGGATGTTACAACACCACGATAATTGCCTCAGCAATCAATCAAAACGACCCGGTTGGGCAGCACGTCTGTCTTCCAAATGGCAACAGTTGACATCTCGGAGACGGCGCTTGGTGCGTGGTGGGGCTGCCTTTCTCGCCATTTTGATGACAACCCTGGTAGTAAATCCAGTCAAAGTTCTGGCCATGGGAGGAGGAATGGGAGGATCCAGAGGACCCACTCTACCCATGTCACAGTAAGTCAAAACAAAGCAAACCGAAATCAGAGTGGAGACATTTTATGAAGCTAGGAGGGAGCTACCCTTTTGAGGAGAGTGACTCACCTCGAGGATCTTTTGTCTTTCTCTCTTTCTCTCTCTCTCTGCCTCCTTGTTCCATTCAAACGGTGACTTATCTATGTTCACGTCATCATATGTTTAATTTCTCACATTCTTGCGTGCCGCAGGAAAGAATTCTTGTCGGCATCCGCACTCTTTCTCAGTCTCTTCTCTGTGCTGGCACTGTTGCATGCCGCCGAAATTGCCATTACGACACTCTACCCCTGGAAAGTACGAGAAATTGCCGAAGAAGAAGCCAAACTGGGAAAGAATCGAAGCACCTTTAAAGTTCTCAATGAAGACATTACCAGAGTCTTGACAACCATATTGGTCACATCCACAGCATGTTCCATCTTTGCCACAACCATCTTTACTCATGTTGTCGCATCGCGGTTTGGAACTCGCGGTGAACGCTACGGTGCCTTGGCACTGACGGCTCTGACACTCTTCTTTGTCGAACTCTTGCCCAAATCACTGGGAGTGACCAATGCCGAAACAGTGGCGCGACTCATGGTCCCACCCGTGAATGTGATTTCCACCTTTGTGAGTCCTCTGGGCATTTCTCTCAGCTTTCTGGCGAAACAAACACTGCGATTGTTTGGTGTCAATTTATCAAAGGGTGATGGGGACGTGTCCGATTCACAACTGAGGCTGATTGTTACGGGCGCCCGAGATTCGGGAACCATTGATCACGGAGAACAGGAAATGATCCAAGGAGTCCTCAATCTACAAGGCCAGCGAGTCAAGGAAATCATGAAACCACGGGTGGAAATGATCGCCGTGCCCAAAACGATGAGTGTAGCAGGGGTCTTGGGTATTGTCAGAGAAAGTGGATACAGCCGCATCCCAGTTTACGAGGGGGAAATCGACAATATAGTTGGAATGGTGATTGCCAAGAATGTGCTCGACTTTTTCGTAGAAGGTGTTCTAATTGACGAAGAGATGCAAAAGAAGATCCGGCGAGAAGATCCAATTGAAGAAGTCTTGGCTTCAGGAGAGTTCCTTGATGTTGGTGCAGCCGACAATGCGACATCCCAAGACGCGACGAATTCATCTGTCGTCATTCCCATTGGACCCAGTGGTGAAGAAACGTTAGTGCGACCCTTGACACCCATGCAACTCGCTCAACGAATGGAGGAGTCTATCGATCAGGCAGGTCTGATTGAATCCTGTTACTTTGTTCCGGATACTGCTAAGGGATGGTCCGTGCTCCAGGAAATGCGACGCCGGAGAATTCACATGGCCATCGTCGTTGATGAGTTTGGTGGCACTGGTGGTTTAGTTTCCCTGGAAGATATCGTTGAGGAAGTGGTCGGTGAAATCTACGATGAAGATGATGTAAGTCTCTGGAGGCGTATTCATATGTTCTCTAGTGCACAGTCTTTGGCTCGCCCGTTCAGCTTCAGTCATGCTCATTCTTATCACCAATCCGATGGTTTTTGTAGGAGGAAGATTATTCATTCTCGGAAGATTCTATCACGCTGCAAGAGGATGGTTCCTTTTTGATTCGCGGTGATGCTGATCTGGAAGATGTCGACACTATTCTGCAACTGAGCCTGGATGAAGAGTCGGAGTTGAAGGAGTTCGCGACTCTTAGTGGTTTCTTGTGCATGTGTGCCGGGGAGATTCCGTCCACGGGCGATATTATCATGAGCCGTGGTTGGTGCTTCGAGATTGAGCATGCGGATGACAAGAGAATTTTGCTGGTAAAGGTAGAACGCTTACTTGGAGAAGAGGTGGAGGACGACGACGACGATTCCTCCAACAACCCAATCCGCAATCTACTACGAATGAACAACGATGACGGAGATTCGGAAGATGCAAATGACGAAAATATCGACTCCAGCAAACAACGGACCGAGGCAATGATCGAGCAGGCGAGGGAAGCCAACATTGAGGCGGCGAAAGACGTCGAGCGTTTGGTGGAAAGTGGCCAAAAGAAAATGTCCATGTTGAAGGATATTGCGGAGGGAAAGGAAGCATAGCGGTATCGCACGGAGGACGAGATCCGACAACGCAGGTTGTTTGATTGCAGCTTTGTTTGCTCAAAGTGGTCTTGCCTTCTCCCTTTCGTGGTCGGTTCCGCATACCGCCGTATCAAACGTCAATCCAACCAGTGCATACGGTTCAATTTGTAAAGTAGCACAGCCTTTCCCGTATCACCGCGGACAAGCAAAATGTCATTCTAGCTAGAGCCTCGTACTGTATGCATGTTGAACGTTTTAACTTAATCAACCTTGTCGTACAATTCCGCAGAGTGGGTTTTTCGTTTCTTGCTGCCACCACTGGAACCGCTCTTGTCATCGGCATTCTTGTCCTGGTCTTCCGGGTTGACTCGTTCATATGGCGGCGGTACCTCTTGCATCTGAACACTGGGCGCCCCTTGCAAATTTTGCAGTTGCTGCAACAGCTCCGTCCGAACTGATTTGAGCGAGCTACCAAGAGAGTAGGGACCGATTTGATTTGCACAGTGTGAGAACGACGAGACGTGAAGTAGTAGAAGTTTCTTGAACTTACTCTTTCCCATTGAGGTTTTCCATGGATTCGGGCGTCAAATGGAGTTCATAATCCGGTGCATAGTACTCAAAATAATCATTAAAGGGAATATCATTGGAGATGTCATTTTCCTTTCCCAAAATGACGGAAGTCTCGTAGGCCCATAACCGTGCAACATTGCGAATGGTGTAACCACCTCCACCCAAAACCAATGTGGGTACTCCAAAGCTCTGTACGTACTTGACGCATTCGGCGTGTCCTTTGAGGGTGAGATTGAAGCACCCCAGTCGATCTCCCGTGAGTGAATCGGCGCCACATTGCAAGACGATCGCCCCCGGTTGAAAGACTTGCATGATTTTTTCCACGACGGGTTTGAAGAGATCATTGAAGTAGGTGGAATCGGTAATCCCCGAGTTGAGTGGTGCATTGACGCTAAAGCCTGTACCGTCCTTGGCTCCCACGTCGCCAATGTGGCCTGTTCCAGGAAAGAAATCTCCGTATTTGTGAAGAGAAAATGTCATGACCTGAACAAGTACCAGGAAGACAAGCAGAAAGTCAGATAGATGGGTCCAGGTTGGCTAGCTAGCCGGTGGGCTGTATCTTTGTTGAGAATTCAAACTTACCCTGTCACAAGTATAGAAAGCTTCTTCCACACCATCTCCATGATGCACATCGATATCAATGTAGAGCACTCGCGCATGCACTTTGAGCAGCTCCAGAATGGCCAGTACGATATCATTAATATAACAGAATCCACTGGCCTCTGATTTTTTGGCATGATGGAGTCCCCCGGACCAATTGATGCAGACATCGGCCTGTCCCGTATTGAGTTGTACGGCTCCATCCAGAGAGGCTCCCGTGTAGAGTTGTGTGAATTCAAAGAGTCCATCAAAGACAGGACAATCGGTTGTTTCTCCGGCATTGAAACGTTGCATGGACGTGTGATATTGTCGCAGTGAATCAGGGGTGATTTTGGAGAGAAAATGGACGTAATCTTCGGAATGGAATTGCGTCATTTCTCCGGCACTGGCAGGATGGGGACGGTAGCAATCCATTTCCTTGTAGAGGCCATACGACAATATCAAGTGATGCGCCATCTTGATCCGATGCGGTTTCATCGGATGAGATGGCCCATAGTAAAACAGGGGCTGTCATGGAACAAAAACGTAGTAAGAAAGATAAGAGGAGAATGGATTCAATCAATCGATGAGCAAGAACAGGTAGCCGATGCTATGAAACTACATACAACGGCACACTTACAACGGTAGGATGGTAAAAGTAAGATACCCGAGATTTCGCTCGGTCCGACATATCGGAGCGCCTTCTTCAGAGATCAGGATATTGTAAACTTCACGCAGATATAGTTGGGGCAACAGACACAGCAACGCTCTCTTCGTTCGTCCGCAACAGCTTCATGCACAACAACACAATGCAAAGGTTGGAGGTTGTGGTCGACCAGACCTCGTTCGAGCCGTCGCTCACATTTTACGTTGTTGGTCGCACACATTCCACAGATTTTCCTTTATTTACCTCGGATTCAAGAAACACATGCATACTTCCGGAGCTGGCCTCTTTGGTAGCGGTAGCTACAGGGGCCACCGTAGCCGGGGTATATGTAGTTGACGATTAAGAATGATGAATCCCTTCTAATGTTTCTGTTTCTAAAGTATTAGTTTATGATCGATGAGTGTCATTGATTCTTTCGAGCAAGTTCTACTTTGGACAGGAAGGCTTTGCCAACTCCTCGTTGTTTCGGAATTCGATGCGGACCGGGGACCTTTTCCGGCCATTGCGGATGAGGTGGAGACGAGGATGCGGCATCAAATCGCCAATTCATAATCCTGCTACATCCCATGAAATCCTTCAACTTGGGTACAGTTTGGAGGAGTGATGCCACCGCAGCACTTCCCGCACCCTGTTCCTTCATTCCAAAGAGGGCTTTGGTCCCGGATAATTCCCGTTCAAAGTCGGCGGATTGGAGCCGATGGGTTTCATTATTGAGTGCATTCCGATGAAAGACCAAGCTGCTAAAGTCGTCCAATGAGGAGGACTCGCAAAAGTTTTGATCCTTTTTGAGAAGAGGATAAATGGACGATGTGTTGCCTTGATCCTGCATGGGTCCGTGTGCAAACTGGAAGAATGTCGAGACGGGTAGTGTGACATTGGCCGGATCATAGACCAAATCGTAATGCATGGCGGACACGGTGGGTACTGCCACGAGCATATTCTGTTTGACGCGGGAAGCCCATTTGACTCGTTCGTCGAATGCCTCGTCGGGATTGGCCAATATCACGACCTCTCCCGTAATGGCTGGGTGTGTAAAGGCGTATTGAAGCATATCGTAATAGCTGGGAGTTCCTTCCTCGGTTCGGTCCACACACACCAAAGTCGACATGCCCAGATTTTGATTCTTGACTGATCGATGGTACCAAATCCATCCATCAAAACGTTCTTGTAACTTTTGCATGTACTGATGAAAATGACTGCAGTTGTCTTGATCCGTGGACGAATCCAAAATCACCACCACTTGTTCCAAGAATGGATTGTTCCAATTGTTGAGAATGGCCGCCACTGTTTCGTCCACATGAGGATCGCCGTCACGGCGCTTGGCGGAAACGGTCGTCACCAGCGACAACGTATAGTAAATATGATTCCGAGGATGTCGTGGCGATGGTTTGGGTTGATGGATCCCATGTTTGTGCAAGTGCTTGGCAAAAAAGTAGGGCGGCGGAACTCGGTCCAACCGAGCCCACTTGTTGGTTTCGTGTTGCCAAAACGGCTTTCCGTGTGCATGCATTTTGGGAGCGGCATGGACGTGCCATAGATGGACAAACTCGCAGGGATTTTCGGCCACGGCTTCGGGAACACTGGTTTGGAGTGCCCACAAGGTGGCACATTCGGCGGCATTTTCATTCAGTTTGAAAAAGGCATTAGTATTGCCCTCACCATAGGCGTTGTTGCCACCGACATGTACTTCGGGTCGCACAGCGCGGGTAAAATGTTGTGGGGACAGTCGACCCCGCAAGAGTTGCGGATGAAAAATGTATCCATCCCACGACGTCGTGGAATCCATGCATTGATCTGGTGCTACTGCCACAGTGTCGGCTGGCATGGGTTTGTCGCGGTAGACGAATTGAAAATGCTGATACACGGCCCCCGCCCTTGTTTCATCATTGGGCAATCCCATGGATGTCAAGATATAGATATTGTTGTGTGCTAGATTCTGGCGAGCCCATGCCAGAGTCCCGTCAAAAGCCTGATCGGCATTGCAGAGCACGACAATTTCGGTTTGGACAAGCTGTGGATCCAAGGCATATTGGAACATCTCATAGACATTGGGTTGGTCTTGTGGACGATCCACACAAGTCAATTTTTGGGCAATATCCACACGCACCGAAAAAATTGCAATACTAGTAGTGCTTCCACTCCATTCAAGAAATTGCTGCTGCAACTGTATCATGTGTTTTCGAAAGGTAGCACAATTGGACTTTTCCGAGGAACCATCTAGGATAACGACCACTTGATGATAGTGCGGATTGTGGATATTATTCAACATGGTGGCTTCAATTTCATACAGATGCAGTTTCCGATCCTCCCCCAAGATCGCATCGGCAAAGTAGCTCGTCACGAGGGTCACTTTGGAGGATCGTCTTTGGAATAATAATAGTCCCATCAAAGCCAGTGCCATGGTCAGCAGAGTCATGCTGAATCTCTTGTCCTTTCTCAGCTTGACTCCCAATCCAAGCCCTACAGATGATATTAGACCCGTGAGATCCCATGCTTTCTTCCCTTTGCTGCCATAGCTCGACTTGAGTTTTTGTGGCCCAGCCGATGATGAAATGGCGCCATTATTCAATCCATTGCCAGAAGATGATGGCGCAGTATGGGTGTTGTATCGACGTGAATGCATGATCACAGAAACATGATGGTACCACACACTCGCTCCCAGTTGCTGCAGTCTCCAAATCAACCTGGGCAGGTAAACTGCCTGAGTTCTCAACCCCTTTACCTCGGCAGGTAAACTGCCTGAGTTCTCAACCCCTTTAATGCTATTTCCTATTTCCTATTTCCTATTTCCTATTCCGGTGAAGCCAAAGTATAAGGATAGAGATAGTCATAAGCCAACAAAACTGAACATTGATGATTCAATACAAGTTAGGGGTAGGAATAAATCATTAATATTTAAGGTTAGTGCAATCAGCACAACAGCACAATAAGCCAGCAGGAGTTGTAAAGGTTAGAGTTACAATAAGGGAATGGCAGCTGGTAAATTATAGAGTAGCGGGCGGCAACACACGACGTAGTCGGGTGTTGTCGCCAGGGCTAGCTTAAAAGAAGGTTGCAATGAGGGAATGAATGATACCGGGCGGCAACACACGACGTAGTCGGGTGTTGTCGCCAGGGCTGGCTTGAAAGATGGGTGCAATCTCGAACATGATCCTCCTTCTTCTATCTGTCTTTCTGCCGAGGTATCGCAGTTCCCGCTGACTTAAATGCTATTTCCTATTTCCTATTCCGGTGAAGCCAAAGTATAAGGATAGAGATAGTCATAAGCCAACAAAACTGAACATTGATGGTTCAATACAAGTTAGGGGTAGGAATAAATCATTAATATTTAAGGTTAGTGCAATCAGCACAACAGCACAATAAGCCAGCAGGAGCTGTAAAGGTTAGAGTTACAATAAGGGAATGGCAGCTGGTGAATTATAGAGTAGCGGGCGGCAACACACGACGTAGTCGGGTGTTGTCGCCAGGGCTAGCTTAATAAAGAAGGTTGCAATGAGGGAATGAATGATACCGGGCGGCAACACACGACGTAGTCGGGTGTTGTCGCCAGGACTAGCTTGGAAGATGGGTGCAATCCGAACATAATCCTCCTTCTTCTATCTGTCTTTCTGCCGAGGTATCGCAGCTCCCGCTGACTTAAATCGTTGTGAGAAACCTGCGAAAGAACCGCGGAAGGGCAACCGTGGCACCTCCAACCACCCATGACTCGACTCGACTCAAACAAGTTTCCGCTATCAAACTACGGTAAAAAGCACGTGGGAGGGAACAGTTCGAAGATCCACACGGAAATCAACCTTCTTTGTCCCCACTTCCACCATCCAAGGCCGATCAGTTGGTGTTACGGTACGGTACCTAATACCGGATGTCGATCGTCATGTAACAATCCGCTAGTGCTAGTTTTGCCCTGGAAAGAATGGAATGGAATCGAATCGAATCATTCAATCAGTCCCAGACGGCCTCAGCTTGGCTAGCTAGGCAAGTGGATAAGCTGTACAGGCACAACTGGAAGTCCAGCAACGTATCTGTATTGGGTTGCGGGGCGAGAGCAACGTCGATCACTGCGCCACATTCGACTATGGTCCTCCAAGAGGCGGCTACAACATCTTGGCGGGCGCACGATCAACCTACATTTCACTTTTTGGGATGCACGCAACTCAGCCTGATTTCCGGTGGATCGGTCATGCCATCACTCACAGTGGGAGCTCTCAGTACTTATCCAAGCCAAGCGAAACGCAAACTATAGGGACTACGACGACGTAAGACTTTGCCATGTTATGGACGTGGCGCTCGACTCTTAAGTGCGGCAAATCGTTGACTCAACTTGCCCATCTACAAGGCTAATTGAGTACGTACAGCCACGTCTTGGAAGACTTCGTGTCCACTGGTCGAATAGTCCACAAAATCCGAAGAAGAAACTGCTTCAAGGAGTTTAGCATTGTCTTCAAGAACAGCGACAAGCTTACCCATTGTTCAGAACCATTGGGGCAGGCTTGCTCTTTTCGTGATCCTGTCCACCTGGAGAGGCTCAGTGCGAGTTCTAACGATTGTGACGGCACTCAGACTCTCGGATCTATCCGACTTGCGAAATGTCCGAAGTATCCGCAGGTGGTTTGGAAGACTACGATGAACTACCCACGGAAACTCCAGGACAAAGAATGGTTGGGTCCTCGTGTCATCTCTTCAATTGTTGGTGTTGGGAGCCCCAAAGACCTCGATCACAAATCCATTTGGGGCTCTTGTCTCCCGTAAGTCTCTCTCTTATTCTAAGTGATGATGAGATCTCGTATATACTGTGTTTTCTATTAGTGCTTGCTGGTGCAAGCCAATGTTAAGAAGGATAGAGTTGATCGTTAGAAATAATCACCTGATTCAGCCAACTCCAAGTCCCCAGTGGCCAAGACATCAAAAACACACAGGTCCATGTGCTCGTCATCCCAATGTGCACAAGCCTCCTCTGCAGCTTCCTGTGCAATGGCTTCACCAAGGCGGCGGCGCCCAGTTCTTGTGGCCTGTGACAGTTGACACCTTTGTGGGAATTGTGGGAACCTGTCCATCTCAAAGAGGTTTGCTTCTGTGTTCAAGACTTGCCATTCCTCACCAAAGGCAATGGGATCTGTCATCACAGTTTCCCCATCACGGGCGAACCAGATACCATCATTGTAGGATCCCATCAAGCCAACAGAAGCCCCAAAGGTTGCTTGGGTGGCATTTTCCACTTTGACACTGACCAGTTCTTTTTTGGTGCTAATCTTGATGTGTTCACCACCATCCAGATGGATCATAAAGACAGGCTTCTTTGTATTGCTCCACCACTTTTCAAACTTAAAACCACCAAGATCCATGGGCAAATCAGCATGTTCAACTCCATTGACAGCATAGGCACCCCATCCAGTGACTTCCAAGATGTCTTGTCCAATACGGATGGCAGCAGTCTCAATGTAAGAGAAGGAGCCCCGACCAGCAGTACGAATGACAATGTCCGTGCCCTGACCATTGGCAAAGTCATCAAGTTTGAGCAGCACCAGATCACAAATGCCATGGTAGTCGTACCACTTGCCAGCCCAGGTTTTGAAATGAGGATCTCCAACAGATCCACCATCGGCAGGGCCACTGGTCGTCTGTGCCATGGTTGGTGAGGCTGTAGGGCTCACAGTAGGACTAGTTGTAGAAGCTGTGGGGCTGGAAGTTGGGCGTCCGGTTGGACTGATGGTGGGTGGGGAAGTTGTAGAAGCTGTTGGGCGACTAGTGGGACTGATGGTGGGTCGGGAAGTTGGGCGTCCGGTTGGACTGATGGTTGGTGGGGAAGTT